TTTTGGTTATTATTTTAATTTTCAAATGGGATGTCATTGTTTGACTCTGAAACCTGTGTTACTTTGTCCACAATTTCTCCAGAATCACAATAAATGTTACTGAAAAATGTAATAAAACAAAGTATTGTTTTTACCTCCTCGTATACGAGGACGTTAAATACGTGTTATAGATAAGTTATGTAATGCTGCAGAGAAAAGTACCGGTTTTTCGACACAAAAATTCGTTTTCGAAAATTCACAAAAGAAAATTATACATGCGCCATTTTTATGCGTCCTTACTTCTATACCAGGAAAAAAATGGATGCGTTTTTGACAATGTTTTTATAAACAACATTAAATGGAAGCAGAAAATACGCAAAAACTAGTTCCTTCCGAAAACGTACACAGTATTTTTAAAGATATGATTTGTTAGAATAGATTTTGTTGAAGACAAAACATTCTATCTTCAATATTACAGATTTGGGAAATTAACTTTTTACATTTTTTTTAAATTTTCGAAAATGCAGAGAGATATCCGGAAATGAGACTAGTATCACATCTTTTTTATCTTTTGATAATACGAGAAGAAAATTTAAAGAAAAATTTGGAGCCGTTTCTGTGAAAATAATTGTTTAAAAATTTATTATATTTCCAGCAAAATTACGTGAAAACTATTCACATTTTTGAAAAATTGAACATGACCTTATTTTAAGATCTGTCTTTAAATACGAATCTTATTAAGAAAAATTATCTAATATTATCTTCAATCTGCAATCAAGACTTCGAAAGAAATTTAAACTTGTGCAATTTTCGTAAAATCAGTAATTTTAAAGAAAATGAGACGTGCGTCATTTTTTTAAGAATCCTTTGCACTATCCGAGGAAAAAAATAATCGAAAACATAGAGGGCCTCAAATTCCTTCAAATCGATTGAGGGATGTAAAATTTTGGTGAAAATCGGCTGAACGGTTTGAGCGTCAACGTTGACCACCGACAGGCAGTCGTTTTGTGTCCATTTTTCGGTATTAAGAACCCACTAAACACGGATTGCGACTACACGTGTTAGAGGAAGTAATTTACTACATATTGGTACAAGGTTTATCCCCCATTCCGTTGCTAGGGTCTGGCAAAGAGACTTTTTCTGTCGATAATTCGCCGTTTCTGGCGCACAATTACAACACTTTCTCTTCTTACGAAGTAAAGCGAAGAGAAGGAGAAAGTAAAATCGATAGAAGGCAAAACGGCCGTCCGTTCGTCCGGCGGTTGTCACCGCCAGCATCTAAACCGTTCGGACGATTCTTCAAAAATTGATAATACGTGATTGGCTTCAACGAACTGGAGGTCCCGCGAGGATGAAACGGATATTTTCATTTTGCGGGTGACTACACAGGAAGCCTCAACATTTTCTCTAAAATGGCTCCAAATATTTTCATTATACTTTTTGAAGGGATAGAGTTCAATGCACTGAATAATATCGCCATAGAAAACAGCCTTTTGAGAACACAATTGTAAGTGCGAATTTTGTAAATTTACAAACTTTCCGAAACAAATACTAATTTGTTAAATTTCATTAATAGAAAAATGCGGAGATTAACAATACGAACTATCCAATGCTAGAGAAATTAAATTTTCTAGACTTAAGTTGTTTTTAATTTTGAAGAATCTCTCTTAGAAAGAAGCCAATTTCCTGGCGAAAGCGTCTGTCGGGAGCCTTGCTGAACGGTCTTCGTGGTGGTCGGGGAGGAGGCGAGCGGGCGAGCGACGTCGGCGCTACTCAACACGGAGGAGCAGGAAGGAAAATAAACGCGCGCGCGCCGTCGCCCTTCCCCGGCCTCTCGCCCGCTCGCGCGCCGCACATGGCCCGCCTCCGGCTGCGGGGCGCGGGCAAGCAAGGACGGGAGGTGGTTGTTCCGAACCGCTAATTCACAGCTTAACCTCGGCAAATGCCTCTTCATTCATGTTTGGGTTAGCAAATATTTTGATTTCGATATGAAAATGTTCGTATTTTCAAAACATTTAATAATTGATCTAGGTATTTCGTAAATATTAATACATATGTCGATATGCCACTTAAATATTAATGTGTTCTCAATTGTCGTATCAAAGATAAGCACTATCGCAAGATATTTTACTCTATACGGAGTTCAAGAAATGTATAGTAGAGAGTCCTACCGAATTGGGTTTTGCTTGAATAATCTTGAGGGCGATCCGCTGGTGTGTGGTGGGGATAGTGAATGAAGACCAGTCACTCTAAAATAATTGAACGAAGAACAATAAAAATTATGGAAAAAGTTCACATTCAAATAAGTACTTATTTGCACTTTTGGTCTTCTTGAAGTGCAAAGAAGTCGCTTTAAATAGTAATCGAATTCCGTTTCTTTCTACGAGCCTTCGGCAACCAGCGCACTCTCTCGTCCGTAGGACTCGAATACATCTCGTCGAAAGCAACGGACTGAACGAAACCGGCCGTGCAAATGTCCTTGCTGGGCTCCAGTGCAGCACTATTACTACTTTCCTTAGAATTTCCTCGGCATTGTATGCTTGAATGTTTGGGGAAAGCTCAATTTTAGGAAATTATTTGCAATATCTTTACTTGCAGAAATATGCGCAATGTACAAAGCATATGACGGAATACGCAAACTTCTGAATAAATCTATTCAAAAAATACTTTTTAATTACTCTTCATATTCATTTTGTCCCCTGAAAGATGAAAATAATGTCGAACGTTGAAATCATGAAAGGTTTCAGAAGTTATTTTGCAGTAAAATTTTGAAAAACAAATAAAATAAATATAGATATGATTCAATTCATGTTCAACTCCAAGAAAGATGTGATTTGGTCTCAATACTATCTTTTTTCCCTTCATACATTCATAGCAAAGCATCGTTAGCACACTTTTTAAAATCTAAAACTGTCTCTGCTGATTTGGAGATTTACTGCTGTGTTATAAAGATTACTTACATTTACAAGGTGAAATACTTAAATACGTATTTTTTCAAGGTTTCTCCTGGATAAAAATTGAAAAATTCAAGATTGTTAAGGAAACTCAAAATAATTAAGCAAATAAATGGAACACTGGCTGATCATTTAGAATTTCTTATTTCAACACGTATACACATTTTGTTTACTTATTAACGGTCCCTTTAAACTACTAAGGTCATACTTCAACCACTGTAATTGACATTGGTTTTGTAATTTTACCCATGTTCCGGACGGGATTCGAACCCGCGACCCTTCTGGCCCGAGGCAGCTACTGCCCTTCAGCATTATCGACCTCGGCTATCCCGGCCGGCCATGCAAACTTTTATCTCATTGAAATTCTTTGAAATAGGTGCTTTGCATTGGATTAGTCGTATTTGTACGTAAATCACAACCGGAGCATAATCATTCCCTAGAAGTGGAAATCTCTAGATTCCATCGATAAATAATTTTTATGATGAGAATAGTACTTTCGAGTTCTGTTGGATGAAGTTCTAAATCCCTACATTTGCCTCAAAACCACAAGGGGAAGAGCATTTTGTAATATTGATATCTCTTCCTAACGAATGTCTATGAACGTGCCGCTATCTGTCGTATTTTCCTCATAAAAATATCTCAAGATGTCCAGTTACCTGACCACAACCACGCATATTACGTGTGCATTGTGATATTATCAATATTCTTTAAGCCAAATGACATGGTGGGAAATTTTCTAGTTTTACATCTGCACATTAATATACGTGCAGGCAAAACTTTGTACACTTTTTAAGCATATTTGGCGCACGGAAAAGTTTGAGATTTGGCATAGTTATGGAGAAAGCGTGCAGAAAGCTCCAATTTATTTATAAGATGTATTAAAAATATATTAAATTAAATAGGATAGCGTGCAGTTGCAACTCGCAATATGTTGCAGCCCTCTTCTGTAGTGTATAACACGAGTACCATGCGTTCTAGTGACTTAAAATCATATAGAACCAAGTTTTTGTTTTTCTTTCCATTAATCTACAAAATCGTAGACGTTTTATTGCAAGATTATCGTTTAAGAAAAAAACTTACTGTTTATTTGCATTTGCATACGTGGAATGTAAATTTTGGACAGTATATTTGACTTGTGGAGGACATAGCTCTTTGCGATCAGGAGACCAATTTCCATCGCGTTTCCCACATGGGGAACGAGAATGCAATCATCCCCCTGTTGGTGGGTCACTGATGTTAATTCAAAATAATATGTTCAAATAACAAACACAAGTTGTTGAATTGAAACTCTTTCTGCTCAAAACAATTCATTAAAAATTTAAAAATATCATTTAAGAATTGAATATAGGTTTAAATACGTGAAAAATTCGAACAGGTTCAGCTAGTGTATTTTTAAATAAGAGCTCCATAGCTGTCTCAACTACCATGAAGTACTTTAAGGATATGTAATTACCGTGAAGAAGTTACCTAAAAATGTAAACAGAAATTTGATACTAATGCAGCTTCTTCCAATGCAGGTACTTTTATTTTATTAACATAATGTGGCGTTTGAGCCATGCTCAGGACCCCACAACACCCACGCTGCTTCGGCAACGCCTAGACGGGTTCTCGTGACAGGTGCGCAAGTAATGAGCGAACGAAACAGCGCGACCTGTTCGCTGCGGCCCGCGGCTCGAACTCCGGACTCGCGGTCGCTGGACTTGCCGGCCCTCCGGCAAGCGCGAGGGACCGTCGTGACGTCATGCCACCCGTCCAGGAGCAGCTGACCACTCAGCCCTTCCTGAACGAGGCGTCGAGGTGTTCAGACGAGAGCAGAGAGCGAGGCCGGTGGAGGAAGATAGTCGACATTTTGGCGGAAGAGTGTGCTAGCGAGAATAGAATTATTCAGGAGTGATCTGTAAAGCGGCGAAAGTTAATCAGTTGAACAACATTTATTTGATACTTTATTGAATTGAGTGAATTAGAAAGAGTTAGGACGAGGAAGAGTAGCAGCTGCGAAAGCACGAATTATCACGAGGCGGTCATAGAACTGAGTACTTAACGACATAAGCCAAAAGTGTTGAATAGATGTCGAAATACGCGTTGCCAATACGCGTCAAGACTGTGTATCACGCGTCGGCGTGCTGTGAGTCAATAGTAGTGAAGAGAGAAGACTGGACGGGATTCCGGTGCAGGGCGAGAAGGAAGCAGAGTGGATGTGGAATCTGTGGGCAGCAGCACGAAGACGGCGGTGTTCCACCGACATCGCGGACGTCTGGTCGGAAGAGGAGCGAAAGTGCAGCAGGAACTTGGAGCAAGGTCGTGCGCACGCCGAAGGAGAACAGAGGTAGGCCCAATCCATTGCTGAGAGCGCGACTGCAAAGGTAACGAATTTGTAACGGGAGTTTAGGGCAGGTGGAGCTACGAGCATATTAGCGCATCGGAAGAATGACTAAATTCTAACAGAATTTGCATAATAAAGTAGATTTCGTTGCGATCCCTGTATCCAGTGGTGACAGAAAAGGGAACCTTGTAAACAGTATGATACATTTCATTTATGTTTAATACTCCAAAGAAAGTCATTGTAAATAGTTGTGTAATAGTGTAAGTGATTGTGTTAATTTTGTTGCGAGCATTTTTGGATCTGAAGAAATTTAGTAGAAATAAGAAATAATTTCATTTTATATTCTGGTGATTGAACAAAGTAAATTAATACAATTTTTCAAACGGTGCTGGTCAAGGAAGTAACTACCGTGCACGGGCATTTCTAGAACTCAATAAGGGATAATTAACTAGTTGAAATATTCAAGAAGTGTTTCTAATTTTTCAAAGCGTTGCAAAGGGTAATTTCAATTATTGTGAGATATTTGAAAGTGTTATTTGCCATAATTTGTTCAGTGCCTGTTGTAAATGGTTTTATTCTTGCAAGAATATACGCACTGATTTGCCTATTTCCGTGTCTTGGGAAAAACTTTCTCGAACCTAAAGATCATGTCCCCTGAGATCATAAAGCTCGATAAGAGCATTCGACTCTCTTAGATAGGCTGCGTTAGAATAAAATATATAAAATAAAATATTATACAAAATTAACATAAAATATTCGTAAACTTATTCAAAATTGATAAATGTCTGAAAACGAACGTAGATTGAATGTGAAACAGTTTAGTTCCCAATTACGGACTCTCAAATGTCAATCTGACAATTTGTTTCGACCCGCCACAAGAATATTACAATTAGTGATAATTAGCGTATGACGGGACAAATTGACAGCAAACATGAAAGTCAGCGTATGTAAGATTGTAAAATATTTACGTAATACTAGGCATTTAAAAAATACTTTACGGGAGATACTGATAAGTGCTTCACATCAAAGTTCTCCTTTTGCTGTTGTTGTTTTCTGATGATTGTCTTCGACTCAGAGTTTCATACATATATTGTTTATTCTTCCAAATTATAAAAACAATTGTACTAATAAAGAATTAGTTATAATTTAGTTTATTATTACTAGTTGTGTAGTGATAATTAAGAATTATCCAATATTGCCGTATTATTTGGTTTATCATTGCGTTCAATTAAATTTCTGAATTCAAAGATCTTGGCTGGCTAATTTCTTAAGAAATATTTTCTCTTCTCATTAAGATGTCAGTTTTAGTCATTATCATTTCCTTTTAGGGGAAGTGACGCGAAGGAAGTGGGTTAATCTCCCTTGTGATTTTCCGTCCGGTAAACGCTCCGCAAAATGAGGTAACGTTCCTCGCCAATGCTACCAACCCTTCTGTCACAACCTGTTTTGTTATGCACATGAAACATATTTTTCCAAGCATTTTCATAATCCTTCTCTATTTAAAACTCTTTCAAAAAATACTTACTAAATGTCAATTGTTCCAATTTAATCTAGTTGTATAAACAATGACTGCAATTATCTGTATTTGGGTTAGAGAACTCGCACGTTCTTATATTTTCTATCTATATTTGTTTTACCAAATCTGTTTGTATAACTAATAAAAGTAATCCGTATATTTGAAAATCTTAGTTCTGAAGTAATTGAAACAAGAAATTGTATTCACGTGATGGCCATTTCATTCGCCATCCCAATTAAGGACAATCCATGACGGATGCGAACAATTTCCTTCCAAACATTCAGAATACTACAAATATTATTAAATTCATTTATTATAAATTGTTTTCGACAATGATGCCATTAGTCCCGTAAGCGTAGCTAATGTTACATCGCGAGACGTGGCGATCTTTCTCCCCCGCTGGAACGCGAGTTGACCTACTCTCTGGCTTGGGGTTTTCCGCTTCTGGTATTTCACTCATTAGTGCACCACCTCAGCGGGACAAGGTCTGAGCGGAACTACGAAACTACGGAAAACCCCCAATCAGATCAACTGACCGCTTAAGGTCGCTTCCGGGCCGTCGTTGAATTCAACTCATCGGGACGTGAACACTAGGTCCATCGCGTCAGCGACTCTGCAGAAGCAACGGCAATGATTCCACTACGCCACCACAGCCGAATAATGACGAGAGTAGCAGGCATTATGTTACGCAGACGTATTGTTTGACTGCATAAGTGATCTCATCAGTCACATTCTTAAGTGGCATTTGATGCGACGTTATGTTTGGGTGAACAATTGATTGAAACAATTTTTGTTGAACAGTTGATGAGAAAAAGAGCGATACCTATGAAAATTCATATTCCAAATGCTTTACTTCAATGTTACAATTACAGCCTGCTAAATAATAACTTTGAAATTCCAGACTCATTCGCACGTCTTAACTACAGCACAACTCGCCATCGCTTCTCTTTTCCCTTCGCGCCCACTACATTTTGTTACGAAGCCAGCGCCATCTCGCTCTTCAACAGAGGTCCACCAGAAAACCTTCCGTTCTAAGTAGACCTCCAACAGTGATGATAATGATGACAGAAGAGCATGAATTTGGTTTTCCATATTCCACTAGGGAAATTGTTATATCGGTGCATCTGGTGAAGTATCGAATAGATATAACTAAATGACGTTGCTTTTCAAACAGGGCACGTTCGCTGGCCTCTGGAGGGTTGCCAAGTCTTCCCTTCGAACGTAGTCATAGTTGCATCGGTTGTTCTGTGGTAGAAGGTCGCTTTCATGCTATGAATTCTAACCCTCATCTCTCTTGCAAAAAATTTTACTGTTCATCGCGCCATTGTTGGCTCCATTGCCAGTAGATGTATAATAGCTGGTAAGTTTATGCAAGATTTTAGTACTACAATACGCAAGCAAATATGCCCCAGAAATGTTGAATAGTATTGAAATGTTCAAAATACGCCGCGTTTGGCTAAAAAGACGCTTATCTTGCAATAACATTTACTTATTTTTGCTACCTAGAGAAAGAAGATAACTACAAATTAAAAATAGCTTTTATACGTCCGGTCATTTTATTTATGATTTAATCACAGATTACTATAATGCTTTTGTTAAGATTCTATGTTCTTAAGACGCGTCTTCTGACATATCATCTTATATGCCTGTCTGAATCATTTAACTTCTATTTTTGAAACTTTATGCATTTATTACTAATTTTGCTTCAAAACAAACGGGTTCTTTTGGGTCAAAAACTAAAAAAAAGGAAATAAATACATTGTTAAGCCCAAAACCTTCATAGGCACTCGGCCCCTGGCGCCGTGGGTGGGGATGGGAGCATCGTTTGGCCGCGAGCAGGTGCGTGTCGCCCCCTTGTGCGTCGTCGGGCGCCAGTTTATTTACTTCCCCACTAAGCGATTTCTGCGCTTTACGTTCAGGAAGCACAATAAATGGCGGACGACGGCTTACTCCGTAAGTTTCCTCCACCCCCTCGCCCCAAACCCGGGACGCGCTCTTCGCCGAAGAGGCGAAGCTTCCCTGATGTGCGAACGTTGTCACGAGATACTTATAGCTCCTCATTCGGCAGCGATGGGCGAACGAAAGGTCAAACTGAAAGCGAGTTCATGATCGCCTGCACGTATTCATGGTAGACACATATATGTACTATCTGTTCAGTTTGTCGTGTTGTTTCTCAATTTTCTATTAAGATAAACAATCAAAATCATTGTTTCACGATTATGTATTGAGTAATTTCTGTTTAACTTAGGATATTTTAACTGCTTTATAACATACAGAGTATGTCCCTCACCATTCATTAATCATACACTAACTTGACCGCGAGGAGGTGCGTGTCGCCCCTTCGGCGCCCCCCTTATGCGACGTCGGGCGCACATAATATTTAAATAATATTTCTTTGTAATTGATGATACAAAGTTATGTAATCACTCATTATTTTGTTATTTTCCTTCAACACCTGCTCTGACGTTCTGAAATCTTTTGCCTTTAATTTCCTTTGCTTAAACGTGGGAGAGACGGAGGCTGACAAAAGTGATGGGAATAGAAATTTGGTGCAAGCGAGGCGCGGCGAGGCCCTTCTCAATCCCCAATCCAGATGGGATTCTTTTTGAATTTCCAAGAGTCCAAGAGTAAAACTTCTGTAACAAATTACACGTCCAAATATTCAGTTCAGGTAATTTCATATGGATGCACGTTTTAGAAAAGCAAACGCGAATATAGCCTATCGATAGGGCCGGGTGAGAGAGGGGGGCTACAAATAGGTTTGCTTCAAAAACTTTGTTGACTCAAAGTACTTTTGCAACTTCTGGCGACATCCCTAAAAGTAACATTTTCACCAGTAAGAATTAACAAGCTTATACATTCTCTGAAAAGAAAGAACCCCCTCTATATAGAACTGAGTTGTGGTGAATTTCAAACGAGTAAAATTTCTATAAATTTCATTGCAATTGCATGAAATTTTAGGACTGCATGAATTGTCGATTGAATCGTGATCATGATAATGATCAAAATCATCCTGTTGACATCAGTTTGTGTTGCATTGCCTCTTAATGATCACACAGTTTAATTTCAGAATATCTTATCCACTTTGGTCAAACTCCTCTACATTATAAAATTTAAAAATACCAAAATATGAACTTTAATTCACATCTTTTATTCCTTAAATCAAAATTAATCTTTGTGAAAAATCTGATCATTTCCCCGTGAAAAGGATTGACACAATACGTCGAAGAATAAATTTGAAGTTCATAAATATTTTCTTCCAAATACGTAGTAGGATATGGGCAGTGTTTTGGTATTCCCGATACACACGAAAAATAATCCAGAGCTGCAATGTAAGTTTCATATTATTTTTATGCGGACCAGAATTATATTTCATAAACATTTTCACAAATTTTGTCTTTTCGCGCGAAGTATTAATTGTGTACCAATATAGTGAAAAACACATTTTTTTCATATCAGTATTCCTTATCTCCTGGTATACCACGTTTTACACTTTACACTCAACCAAGATAATGCGATGCACATTGAACATAATCTTGAACGTGTTCAGTTTTTGTGATTTACTAATCGTTTTTC